GACAAGAAAGCAGCTGCCTCTGCATCCACTTCTTTTTCATATTTTACCCTCACCCATCTACAAGGAAGTAGATACAAAGAGTAACTGGGTTTTGATTAATCTCTTAGGGTAGAACCGGCTAGTCTTCTTGACCTACTGTTAGCTTGAAACTTTTACAAGAATGGGTTTCAGCTCTGATGATGTCCATCATACCATGGACGAAAGCTCTGCTGTTTTCACCCGAAGCCAGGGAGGATGTGGCCTCACCAAGCGGGATGCCTAAGTTCTTATTGCCAAGCTTGCAAATATCAGACATTGGCTCGAAGGCCCATTTCTTAACATTCTTGGAGAAAAAAAGTAATGAGTAGGAGATTGGAAGAAGACGGCAGAGTTAGCGGAAACCTTCTCTAAGGCTCTGTAGGAAAATGAAATTCCGAAAGATTGGATATAGCGAAACACATCGCACAGATTGGGCACGAGATCAACTGGAAGGCAACAAAGAGAAAGGCCTCATAGTGAAAACACCGAGAAACGGAAGACTCTGAAGGCCATCGACGTTATGGGGAAAATAAATAATAAAAAGATGATTGGAAGGAGGTAGAGTTAGTGCTTAATTTGCCTATTTCTTAATCTAACCCGAGGAAATAAGCATGCAGCAAGACAAGCCTGTATCGTAAACCAGTGGAAAAGGGATCTCAAATAAGAAGAGGGCGAGGAAGTTTCGGAGATAAAGCGAAGACGATCTCAATGAGTGCAGCCTGCTCGAAGAAACGGCTACAACTTTGGTGGCCTGGCGGTCACGGGATTAGGGAGACGGATAATCACAACCGTCACAGAAATTCTACCTCATAGCCAAATTGACTAGGAATCCACTCAAGAGATAGGAGCATACAGAGATGGAAGTGCACAATTTGCCCAGGATACACGGGTCTGGTCAAGGCGATGATACGTGAAGGCAAGGCCTAATAACCGCAAACATGGGATTCAGAGCCATGCACTCTTCAGATGAGGCAAAATTGTACGTGCTACTCGAGGCTTGAGAAATAGCGCCTGGACTAAAGAGTACCCTGGAACTGGAGCCAGGTGAAATCGGTCAACCAGAAAGATAAAAAACGGATTTCGGGGGCCGTGAGGCGGATCCGGATAGGAGGCTGGGCTCAGATCAGCTACTCAAAAGGGAGGGGGGCAAGGCAAACAGCGGGTGTGATGACGCCACGATAAACACACCAAAAAGGGCACACCCTTTAAGGAGTGGATTATAAACAAGTCAGAAGTTGTGATAGGACGGTGGCGAGACTGGCGAGTATGAAATTGATAGTTGGGCCAGGACAGAAAGTGAAGTGATAGCACAACCGTTTCGGCAGAAAGTTGGTCAAGGGACTGACTTCACTTGTCTCTGTCGCATTGTAGTTTGGTGCTGAGACTGGTAGGACTCGTTGACTAAGGTGCCGGCGAAATGTCTGAGAATATGCCAAGTTCATGGTCCGACGCTTGGAAATATGATAACTACTATAGCAGAGGATTTCAGATGAGAGTCGTCCAACTATGTCGCCCCGACAACAAGACCAAGTTACGGAGATGAGGTCAGACCGCATCAATCTTCTTTTCTGTTCTCTATTTGCGCGAATGACTCCGGCGTCCAGGAAATGTAACCACCTCTACTTCCGTTGGCAATTTGATCATTACATCAATCTGGTTTCTAAACTTTGGGGATTCGTCTTTCTCTTCTGTGCGACCAGGGCACAAAGTAGTCATGCCGGTATCGCATGAGCACTCTTCGTTACAGAAGTGACTTCCGGAAAACCCCTTCTAGCTTGGTCATGCATCCTCTTGCCAAAAGAGGTGAAAAGGGCGATCCTATATCAAGTCCAAATATTTGTTTATAGATGTTGCCGTTGGATGCGAAGTAGGTAATCCTTATTGTCAAGTTGATCAATTGTTTAAGGCCCCTTTCTTATCCTCACCGCTTCCTGAATATTATCTTTCCATCCAAGACTTCTGTTGGGGCTCTGTAAACTGATGTTTTCACTTGATTCCTAGGTCCTAAGCTAAACTAGTGATGACACTTTCTCCATCATTGGCGGGCCACACGGTCGTCAAATAGCCTGTCTAGGCATGATTCACAAGTCGTTGGGCGATTCGTAATAGCCTTTTAACAAGGAAAAAAGATACTTCTAGTGTTCTCAAGTCTGTCTAATAGGCTGACAAATTTAGACTTCTACACCTCACTTCTCTCAAAGTCTACTCATTTCTTTGGAAAATGAAATTAATAGTGTTTTTTTAAGTATATTTTCAGTGAATTTCCATTTCGAAGGAAAATTCGGATGGAAGTAATTCTTAAATATTATTTAAGAAAAAGTCACTAATACACTCAATCAAGAAATGTGGCTGACGGCAACCCCATTGAGTTATAAATTTCGGCCATACTATGGCGCCCGCTAATTGAGTTGCATACTTCATGAATGCATTGGATACTTGAAGCTGAGCGAAGTTGATGCCATACGAAAGCTCAGCCCGGGTTCTTTGGGGTAGCTGCACAGTGCTCCGTGATCTCCTTGGCGCAACCCAGCAGTCAAGACTTAAAGCCGATCCTCCTTCAGCTTCTGGTGAGGCCAAGCTACTAATCCGTTGCGATAAATGTTTTGTTCGAGATGAAAAGTCCAGTGGTTTTGAATTATTAAGAGGTTCTTTGAAAATCATATTTTTCTTATATATTTTAAAGTGCCTTTTCACCATCCGGTATTCCTAACATTGGGCTTTTGATTTTCTCGTTTATCCTTTCAGCACCTTGGTTGAAGAGTGCCACACTTCCTTGGATGAGCCCGATGACAGTGGGCGGCTGCCAATCCACATCGCCGCAATGTCCGGTCAGCCTGCCGTGCTTGGCTATCTGATAACCACGCTGTCTAAAAGTCTCAACCACGATTTTGTTTCTTCCCGCTTCATTTCTCTATTGAATGAATTGGAGGCCTTTCTGGCCGGGCCTGAGACTGGGGAGACGATGGGTGACGCGAGTGACAGAAATGGTCACACAGGAAGTGAAGTGGCTTCGCTCTTGCGTGTAGGAGGCATGAAGTTTGGAGGCAATTTAGAACACCAGCGCCAGCTACGCCTATTTACACAAGTTTCAGGCGCAGCGGCCGCCAACTATCTGGATCTTCATCACTGGACTCCACTGCACTACGCCAGCTCCGAGCAGGCCATCAACGACTACTCATGTTGTATTGGCCTCCTGCTGAACCACGGTGCTGATCCCATGATGCGTACACTTAACGGAAAGACCGCCCTTGACCTTGCCTACGAGGCTGGCCGGTCAAAAGTGTTGATTGACGCCTTGCCTACCAGCAAAATGCTCACCTTACTGATGCGCATTGACGACGTGGTGCCAAGGCACATTCGTCTGCAGCATTGGCACGTGAAAGAGCAAGTTCGCCGGAATCGTTCTAGGACGGAAGTATCGAAGTCAACTGGTCACGCTTCAAACACCACGCAAGCTTCTACGACTCTGAAATTGCCGGGAAAAAGCGATCCTGCCATTGTGGCCAAGTTGGCCCATCCAAGTTGCTCGGTTCCGACCAGATCATCAACAAGTGCGGACTCCGAGGAGCTTGTGGCACCCATTATGTCTTCGCCGCTTGGTCAGCGTCTTGACATGCTGGTATATGGCCGCTCTTTTATATCGCGGACACACAAATCCCCTGCTTCTGGCGGACCCTTTAAGTTGCCGGCCGAGCGCGAGAAGAGAAAGCCGGCAGCAACCGCATCGCGTCCTAGTCACGGGGAGACTCAACTCGACTCGATGGACATCTTGGTCATCTGGCGCAAGATCCTCCTGAATGACGACGTTGAGCTGCTTGAGGCGTTGCGCGATTCGATGATCTGGCGTGAAGGCGCCTCTGAGAGCTCACTGCAGTCGACTTTAGATGCTTCTACTCAACCGGCGAGGCCGGCTAGCGTGATACGACATGAAC